CTTGTGCTCAGAGCTTGTTCTTGTGCTGCCATGATTAGTGCCTCTGTGCTGTCTTTCAGTCCAGCTTTGTCCAGCCACTGGTAGGATTTCAGGATGTCAGCCACCTCCTCTATCTGCCGGTGGTACATACCGTGCAGGGGCCTGTCCTTCCATGATGGTTCCTCGTCTCCCTCCTCTTTCTTGGGTTTCTGCTGCCTGAGGTATTCACTGAGCACGCGGTCGGTTGGGGCCATCTTACTGATGTATTCATGGATGTTTGTCTCATCCTGGACTGTGGTGTCCCCGGCCTCCGTCCTTCTGTTTAGCATACAGCCTCAGGGTGCTGGACTTGGGGTGAAACCCTCCATGCATGGTCAGGTGCTTCCTGGTCTTGATGTCAGTGGTTTCTGTCTCCCCCTTTGGCCAGCTTATTACCCCAGCAGGGTACCTGATCACGGGCAGGGCGTACGTGTTGATAGCCTGGATCTTGTACTTGCCGTTCAGCTGACTCTTCAGGACTTGCCTGACCCTCTGCAGGTACTTGATGGTTGTATAACATGCCTCATTCACCTGTTCACACCCATTCATACAAGCAATTTCTTCTACACCTAAGTGCTTTCTATATAACATTTAAAAAAAGGTAGTGAAGTGCAATGTTATTCAAAGGCCCAGATCACCTCCAGGTGTATACATACATGTATGCATTAAAGCTCTCTGAGTCAATTTCCTGTACTGATAATAAGATTGCCAACGTTTCTCTGAACCACATTAATGCAATCCATATATGTGCATTTATGTGTGAGCTACTCTATATATGGAAATGGAGCATGACTATTTTTTCTGGTATTTCACCTACGGGTCCTATCTTTGTTCCAGGTATGGCAGGACAGCGGCTCCAGTCCAAAACTGTACAGCGACATGTCTGAACAGAGGCAAGACAGACTGCTGGAATGCTGCTGCTGTCACAGTTGTTGTAAAGATGGGCTGCTGCATGTTCCAGGATGAAAGGGAGAGAAAAAACAGGGTACACTTTGTTTGAGAGAACAGTTTTCTTAAATAAAGCAGAAATGGTTTGTTGTTCATACTTTTCTCTGTTTGAGGGTTTTATTAGAAATCAGGTTTCAAGAAGGGACTTGAATAGCTTTAGTGTAATTAATAGTTAGTTGAATGAATAACGACTGGGAGATAACAACTTTATCAGATCTAATGCAGACAAATCTGGAGGTGAACGACAAACTTGTCAGCGTTTGTTTGTTTCTGAAAACACAACAACAGACTACACTGAAAAGGCTTTAAGCCCAATAACATATCACCTAAATTCCAGCTTCTACTTTTGTTCTGTTTAAACAATCTGAAACTTAACAAGTTGCTTAGATTTGATACAAAATAATTAGGGCTGATATTATTACTTACCCTGTGTCTGTGTGGTCAGGTAGTAGAAGAGGGTTCAGAGTTGTACTCGTGAGACTGTCTGCACGACAGGAGCTGTGCACTGTGTCCTGGTGAAGAATATGACTGTGTTATTGTTGAAGGGAGTGAAAGAACAGTAGGTGTGTCTACTGATAGCTGTTGAGCAAGCTTGCCTGCTCAGAAGTTTGCTGGGAGCAAATGTCTCCAATTCGCTCTCAGCACAGGCTGGTGATCAGCAGTTTGACTAAATGCTTCATACAAAAACATCTACTTCATTCATTCTTTGGGACTTACTTTGATTTTTGGGGGATGAAACTGAATGAAAACTTTCAATGTTATTTTTATATCCTGCCATTATTATAAATCTGACCACGAGTAAAGCTATTTTAAATCCATATGTCCAATTATGAATAATGGGGATCATTTACGCACACATTCATCGATTTCAGCTTTAAAAGCTCCTCTCAGCTCTTAGACCATAACCTTGTGTTTTGGCTGCAGGTCCAGGTCCATATGGGACAGCTTGTGGGTCTGGGTCCGGACCGCAGTCCGCCTGTTAGTGACCTCTGGTGTATCAAATAACTAACTTTTTATCCTCTGTTTTGTTTGGACTTTTGATTAAGGTAAATATGTTTAACAAATAAATGAGCTAGTGTAAACCTCTTTGTTAGGTCCTTTGTGGTCTTTACATGTAATGCTTTATTGAGCACTTCTAAATTTGTTTATATAGTACAGAATGAATGGATGAATTACAAATATGTGCATTGACCCTGTGGGGTCCAGGGTTTCATTGACTGTTTTTCACTACTTTATATTTCACCTTTATATTTAGATATATTTCACCCGATTTATCCGACTCCTGAATTAGATTCATCTTCAAAGTGAAAGAAAGCAAAGTGCTCCAGAGTCATACTTCAATGAACATACCTAAGTATACTTGGGCATGCAACCCGGAGACTGGAGCAGCCAGGGATTGAATCTCCAACCTCCTGATTAGTAGATGACTTACTCTACCTCCTGAATAAGGCATTGCAGGAATGCCAGGCAGTACAATAAGTGAGCTGCTAACAGCAGATACTCATCCAGACTGGCTAACACAGGTAAGAGCAATCCAGATGACGGAGGACGCCAAAATGGCTCTCCACAACAAGAGCAGCTGGCTGCAGCCAGACCCTTCTCCTCCACAGCATGGAGGTGTAACAGCTGAATGCAGGTTGTATCCTCAAAAGGAGACTTAAATAAGATGAGATAACAAAAAGAAGTTAGTTATACACATCACTATACACAAAGAAGCGATAAAACTGGAAATAAAACAGAAAGTAAGATAACAGGAACACTTAACATAGGGAGGTTAGAGTAGACACAAGGGACAAAGACTAAACTGAGAGAAAAACCAAGGAATCCATTATAAGAGAAATTAAAGCAGCAATGAAAGAGCCTGCTTACCCTGGAACATGTCTGGGCTGTGGGGGAGGCTGAGGGCGAGCTCAAGCATGCTGTGAGTAAGCAGTGACACAGTCATGTTCTTCTTTTCAGCCCGGGATGGTAATTGGGCGATGTGTCATTTACCTATACCCTAACCCTATATTATCTAACCATATGTTACTCTGATGTATATCATTTGGTGCAACCATCAATTCAAATCTGATGTTGTTTGGGACTCCAAGATCAGGCAGACCATCCTCAGAAACCCACTATGACCGAATGTCCCTGACACAGATAGTGGAGTGCTTGTCCACTGTACACGGCTAAAAGCATGTTAATAGCATTTATCAGGAACTCAAAGGGACTGTGGATTACAACAATGGAGGCCAACTCCAAGCCAATCACACAAGTCACCATCAAGTATGTACCAAGGTGATGCACTGTGTCCATTGCTGCTCTGTATAGGCCCCTAAGCCAGCTCATAACTAAGACTGGGACCACATCTTCATTTTAGGTTTGACAGCATTTCTAGTAAATAATGTCAGGTGGTTTGAGCATGAATTGAGACTGCGGTGTGGGGAAGGCTTCAGAGGGGACTGGTGGCGGCTCTCGGGCAGATAAACAAAGAAGGCACCCCTTAGAAGAAGTAATAACTGTTAAAGATTGTTGTAAATATGTAACCGGTAGGCAGGTGTGCAATGATGCGATCACTTTGAATTGTCTTAGTGCTGGTTTTCATCTTTGCTTTGTGCAGTTGGCTTCATGTTCATACTTAAATACTAAGAGAAAAACCATGTGAAATGTGAGTAATTAAGAAACACACTGCATTACTTTTAATAAAAGTGTTCTGTGTAATATGTAACAGTACTTTTTTTTGAGTAATGGCCCAACACTGATCACAACAAAGAGAGGAAATATTTCCAATTTACAGTGGCTTGCAAAAGTATTCGGCCCCTTGAACGTTCCCACATTTTGTCACATTACAGCCACAAACATGAATCAATTTTATTGGAATCCCACGTGAAAGACCAACACAAAGTAGTGCACACGTGAGAACTGGAACGAAAATCATACATGATTCCAAACATTTTTTACAAATAAATAACTGAACAGTGGACAACCACATTTTTGTCCAAATCCTTTACCACGCTAAACCTGTCACAGTAATTACCTCTGGTAATCATCAACGTCTTGTTTTATACGCCCTTCACTCTCCAGATACACCATTAACTTGTGGTTATTCCTGGCTAAGACTCCATAATCCCCGGCTAGATTGGGAGGGCCAAAGGGTACTTAGCTGGAGTTTGTTTGGCCACTCTAACTGCCTCACTTCCGCCCCTGCTCCTGGCCCAGAATCATCAGAGAGCCAGGGGAGTCTTCTCCGGACCTTACTGGGGTCCCAGCCGAAGTATCATGACCTCCGGGAGGTGTTTAGAAAGGATAGAGCCTGTTCATTACCTCCCTATAGACCCTATGACTGTAGTGTTGATCTGCTTCCTTGAGCTCCCCTCCCTAAAAACCGTCTTCATGACCTCTCCAAACCTGAACATGAATCCATGGAGAGGTACATACAAGAATCTCTTCGTCGTCACCTGTGGGGGTTGGGTTTTTCTTTGTGGGGGAAAAAGGATGGGGGGCTCCGACCCTGCATTGTTTTTCATGGTTTAAATGAAATAACAGTCAAAAACAAATATCCCTTGCCCCTAATCAGCTCGGCTTTTGAATGTCTGCAGGGTGCCACAGTCTTTTCTAAATTAGACTTACCGAATGCCTATCACTTGGTGTGCATTAAGGAAGGGAATGAATGGAAGACCGCCTTTAACATGCCTTTAGGGCACTTTGAATATTTGGTAATGCCTTTTGGGTTGAAAAATGCACCCACGGTCTTCCAGGCTCTTGTAAATGATGACCTAAGAGACTTTTTGGATGGTTTTGTTTTTGTTAATTTAGATGACACTTTGGTTTATTCTAAGGACATTCGTGAACATGTGCCGCAAGTGCAAGCAGTGTTCCAGAGACTATTGGAAAACCGATGTCAAAGCTGAGAAATGTGAGCTTCACGTGTCCTCTATTTCCTTCTTGGGATATGTGCTGGCAGGGGGGCAGGTGAAGACGGACCCGGCAAAAGTAAAGGCAGTTACCAAGTGGTTTCTCGACAGTTTGAGATAGAGGAGGAATCATCCTCTAAACCTGCCATCCTGCCGGCTTCCTGCAAGGTTGGAGCAGTCACTGGGAGGTACAAAACATCATCGAGTGGGCTCTTCGGACGGAGCCTGACTCGGGCACTGGGCCGGCAGGTTGTCGCTTTATGCCTAGCACAGAAACTGCTTTAGTGAAGGTTACAAATGATCTTTTTATGGCCTCTGACAGTGGACTCATCTCTGTGCTTGTCCTGCTAGACCTCAGTGCAGCGTTCGATACTGTCGACCATAATATCCTGCTCCTCACATACAAGGTCTTAAACAATCAGGCCCCATCTTATCTTAATGACCTTGTAGTACCATATCACCCTATTAGAGCACTTCGCTCTCGCTCTGCAGGCCTACTTGTTGTTCCTAGAGTATTTAAAAGTAGAATGGGAGGCAGAGCTTTCAGTTTTCAGGCCCCTCTTCTGTGGAACCAGCTTCCAGTTTGGATTCAGGAGACAGACACTATCTCTACTTTCAAGATTAGGCTTCAAACTTTCCTTTTTGCTAAAGCATATAGTTAGGGCTGGACCAGGTGACCCTGAATCCTCCCTTAGTTATGCTGCA